CCAAGTATGAACGGATGTGTATGGGTTTGTATAACCTTGTGTTTTGTATTTAACTGCAGCATAGTCATAATTCTTGCTTACATAAAGCAATTGCCGCACTAACGTGGGAATTGCCAATTTTACCGGCTCATCATTATACGTATTCGTATATGTTTCTCTCCACTATAAAGAATTCGTTAAAGTAAATGTACATATATATATATATATATATATATATATATGTGTTTTCTATCATTAAAATGTTAACACAAACCGTGGTCTTGTCCATAGCAAATGTCTCCTTGTTGCATTGCATATTTGCGCCTATGTAGGGGTGTGCATCTTTTGTTCTTTGCATTACTTAACTAACTCTCTCGGTTTCTCTCGTTGCTATTTCTTCTTCTTCCCTTTTTTTATTTTTTGATTTAAGTGCATACAATTGTTTGTGTCTCACTGCCTGTCAAGACCTGTTCAATCGCCCTTCTATTTCTATGTTTACTTTTTAAGCTTCCTTGCCCATTCTTTCCCTTTTTTTTCTTTGTTTTTTTTTTTTTTTTTTTTTTCTTGCATTCCTTTTTTCATTTTAAGCTTTCCTTAGTCTTTATAATGCGTACAATGTTGCATGTAATTTGATCTCATTATATGCTATTATTATTATTATTTTTTATTATTACTTCTGCTGCGGTTGTTGCTGTTGTTGCCGCTATTGTCGGTTGGTTTTATGCATGTGCCATCATAATATTAGACTCCATTCCTTTTCATCCGTGTTGGCATTGTTTTATACAAATACACATTATCATGATTTATAATGATAGTGGTGATAATTTTCATAAGGAAGTCGATGTGTAAATGTCTCTATGCGCATGTATGCGCTTGTGTGTATGTACGTTTGTATTAAATTGAATACCATTTAGAGGTGAGTATTTACTTTCCGTTTATTTTTTTTTTTTTTGTTTTCTTTTTCCTTTTTGATTGATTTATGTGAATATTTATTTACACCTTATTTATGAAATTGTCTTACCCCATACACACAATGCGGAGCAAAATAATTGCTGCGTAAAGAAATTGAATGTAAAATAAGAATAAGACAGATTTGATCGATTATACAGCACTTGAATAATTTCCAACCAAAACAATCATCCTTAGAAAAACTTGAGAATAATGCGTAGACTCAATAATCTTGAAAGTACGAATATAAAATTTTACCTTAGTTACGCTATAAACATAAAATTCAGTTTTTCCATTGGTGGAAATGTCATGAAATTTCGACGCATTTCGCTTGAAGGTTAATACTCTCTGAAGGTACGGATTCGTCAATAGTGGGGCAATATGCAAGTCATGGCACTATCTTTTCGAATACTACGTTACTTAATGATATGACTTTCCTACCTTTTTTTTGTCGTAGGATCGTTGAGCTCTTTTTTTTCTCATATTTTCTCAAAAAGGCTCTCCTACGCGAATTTATTAAGTTTATCATAGGTACAAAGGCTTTTCGTAATTTTTATACCACAGCGTATGGCACACGAGTGTATTGCTTTTGTGCGGTTGTATACAACAATCAGAAAGACTTGAGATAGAGCCAGATTTTATTTCAAAATCATTTTCTTAACCGATCTAAGCTTATCTGTCCGCCTTGTTTTATTCTCAATTAGCTGCGAATTTTTCCCAAATTTTAATAAAATTTTGTACAACGACATGTTATGGCCCAAGGACGATGACTATTCAAAATGGTTCAGATCGGGCCATTCTCTCGATCACTTCTAGTATAAGGCCTTATATTGAAATGTCGTTACCCGAATTATGGTAGTAAACGAAGTAATATACGATATTTAATGGTAGCTCGTGTTTGTTTCATGCTCGATCCAGGTGAAATACACGTTAACAAAAAAAAAAAAAAAAAAAAAAATGTGTAAACATTTTCTTAAAAAAGATAAACTTGCTCTCAAACCTTGAACCGATCTTTCTTCTGTTACTATCTCAAAACTAAAATTTTATTGTTATTTTTTTATTGTCTCTTATTATTTTTACATTTAATATTATTTAATTTGAACTATCCTTTTTTCCATACTATACACCCATACACTCATCTAAACCGATTCAAAAGTGCGCTCACAAATCCTATGATCTAAGTCAGAAGCACATCCATATTTTGACATTAGTTTTTCGGAAGAGCTCACATCTCCGTCTCTTTGCACCTTGCAATCAAATACCAGAACCATATTCACGCTAAAGTAAACACAAGCTAACGCATTACGTATGGATACGGAAACGTTTTGAAATATTCGGTCCAATTTGAATATAACTTTCCTTCTTTTCTCTTGTAGGGTTGGGCAAGTCTTTCCCTACTTGATCTTTCAAATCATCAAATAAAGTCTAAACTCTAAAGTGGTACAAGAAAGAAATGCATAAGCAAATGCCTCACCAGTTAACCTGACATCAACTAAATCAACTACAAAATACCAACGTACTGCTAATGGGGATAAATATTGCTTCATTATCAATATGAAAGCAATCGCTTGACCTTATCGTGGTGTGCTGCATTAATTTTCTAAAATGAAAAGAAAATACAAACATACTACGCCATTGTACTTAACATCCGACCAAACCGAAGTAATACTGACGAGTTCTAAAGGCTATAAAATATCGACAAATTTTCATATGATCAAACCGAAATGCGATATTGAAACTAAGGGGCGGAAGCGGTCAGTGCGTAGTATTTGCAATAAAAAGAGAAAACAGTAAGTATTGATATATATGGGCTATGGTCGAATCTGAGACACTTTCGATTGCGTTGTTATTTATAACCGAAACAATAAATCCTGCATTGTTAGAAATGATAGATCTTTGGGTTCGTTATAGAAATTCTCCTTTTGAAGTAGATAAATGAAAATTGCGCAATTCTTAGAAAAGTAAGTGTTGGGAGTGGGTCGATTTATATGTTTTGTTGAAGGTTAAGAGAAATTTTGCGATTATAGGTGTGAAAACCTATTGACAATTTTAATTTGAAAGATCTATTGATTGAGAGATTGAAACAGTTCTCTAAGACAAATGGTCATAATCGAAGTCGACCTACATACAAGCTCGATCTGTAAAATCTTCTTGTCTAATAGGTTTGACTTTGCAAATATCCATAAATAAATAAATCGGTGGTTGTTTACAGCTAATTATTTTCTTAAACTATTTAGTGTCTTCGATTTGTATAGTTCTGCTTGACGGTCCTTGCTTTTTTGATTGTCGATTTAATACATATTAAAAAGTGTATATTAAAGGACCAGCCAAAGATTTTTAGGGTTCCGTGAATCTATCGTTATTTCTGTTGCTTTGGTAGAGTGTTACTTTATACCAATACTAAATCCTCTAAACTGTTACATTAACAAAATTTCCTAGAACCCGCATGTTAAAGTTTAAAATACGTATTCTATATGTGATTGGTCTTACTAATCGATAAAGGTGAGATGCTGTCCTTCAAATGGCGCCAATATACGGCACTTTATGAAGTACGCCTCTTCAATAAATGGCTTCTTGATCTCTTTCGCTCGAGAGGTACATAGGATTTTTTTGATAAATTTTTTTATTTTGACATTTTTTATTAACAAAATAGTTTTCTTTGTAGTCGAAAACGGAACTTTTCCACCCAAAAGTCCGCTAAAGAAACAAAGACGCTTTTTTTTTCCTAAAAATTTTTCTCTTTTTCTAAGTTTGGACGAGTAATGCTGCTTGTCGCAGAGCCCCGTCAGTTGCACATGCCCGCAACAAATTCCTGCGCTCGTACTATCTCTTTAATGTTTTTCGAAAATATTTTTTTTGTTGATATATCCAGATATTACTATTGTATTCCTATTCTTTCTATCCAAAAAAAAAAAAAAAAAATTGTCAAAACATCTCCTTTTTTTTCGACTTTTACCTACGATTTCGAGAAAACTGTAGTTGTCTCATCACCTCTATTGCATTTTCCTTGCATCTCCATAGATTTTTCTCATTTAAACCTTATTGCATTCCTTACTAACGGCAATGTTGATTTAGAAGAGAATTGAGAAGCCTAAGAAATATATGGAGGAAAAGACTTATTTTAAAGCCATCACCACTCAGCTGACTAGTGCCGGATTAAATGGAGAAGTTAAATATTAAAGTAAAATATTAGCAATATGTGAGCGGCTCAAGTGCAATGCCATCCTTAGCATGCCCTCACATTATGGATGGATATATAGAACCACATGATGGTGCCTTTTATTTGTAAAGTAGTATTACAAGAATAACATAATATAGAGACAAAAACAAAAAAAAAAAAAGAACGTAAAAAACGTAAACATAACATTACAAACTGGTTTTTAAGAGTGAACCCACATTTTGTGTCAAACGAACACGCGTGATGCTAACAAAGCATGCAATAAAACAAAAAAAAAAAAGAAAAAAGTTAATATAAACGTAGAGGTTTCATTAACAAAAAAAAAAAAAAAAAAAAAAAAAAAAAAAAAAACAAGAATTTATTTAAAACATAACAGAAAAAGGTTTTGCGTTTATTTGCAAAAATTGCAAACAAAAATTATGTTTAAGTCTTAGGTAAAAGAAAAAAAAAAAGAAAAGAGACTTGAAACGCAACATAAACTGAAAGCAAATTTTGAGTTTAACTGGAACAGGTTTGCTAAGAGAATTCACTAAACCGCAACTAGTAGAAGAGTTCAATTTCACTGCACTCACAGTGATATATATGAGTACATTGTGACTTTTCAAATCATTTATCACATCAAGAAAGAGTTTTTGCAAACTTGAAAAGGAAAACAAGAGCAATTGAACCAAAAGGTTTTCATCTAACTAGCGTAGCAGAGAATCTGTATGAGTGCACGCTTCGTTTACGGGGTGCCAATAATGAGGACCGGTTCGTTAGATAAGAGAATAAGGAGAGCATAACAACATATATATATATATATAGGCTGACAATTGAGTTAATACAAAGCGAGCATCTACAGAGCAAACAAAAGGCAGCTTAGAAAAAGTAGTCAGCCAGCCAAGCCACGCAGACCATTAGCACAGGTTCCTGTACATGTATTTGCTGCTCTTTCATTTAGTTCTCAGTTGCGGTGCTTGCAAAGCGAACGTGTGCGTTTTCACAAAAGTAGATGAACGGGAAAATTTATTTAGATTAAAACAAAAAAAAAAAAAAAAACTTGCCTTCTTTTCTGCTCTGTGTGTGTTATATTTGATTGTGTGTGAAGATGTATGCTTGTATGCGTGTGCGTATGTAATTACAAGTAAAATATAGAAGCATTTAAACGTTTTTTGTACGCACATATATTTAGCAATTGCTAAAACAGTATATAGTGGTTGTTTTCACAAAACGACGCACAAAATAATAATAATAATAATCATAATAATAATAATAATACTAAGAACGTTTTTCCTTAAATAAATTTTGAAAGGAAATCGCATGTAGAGTGCTTTTTTTTTTTTTTTGTTGTTATTATTAGTATAAATGAAGAGAGTCGAATGAAAAACGGGAATAATTCCGTTTCATAAATAATAAATGAATGCTATGATGTTATGGCTTGCTTTTATTTTACATAGAAAACATACACATTTGCTTTTTCTCGCTTCATACTTGATTATTAAAACGTTTTTAAATAAAATACATATTTATTAAAAAAAGCAAGGAGTATAGTTGTAGAGACCGACCACACCCGCGCCGCACTTTTACTTTTTGATCTATAAAACGGTACCGTCATTATCAATGGCAGCCAGCAGCCCGAATTTTATTAAATGGAAAAATACTAGAATGAAAAAATGCAAAAACCGACCAAAAGAATTCCAGTGTTGGCAACTTTTGCTTGAAAGCTTTGCACAAAAAGGAATTGGCAAAGAAAAAAAAAAAAAAAAAAATCGACACAAAGCATAACAATCCCAACATAAAAAGAAAAATATAAACACACCAGTACTAGTACCAGCACCAACACCACACAACAAACTGTAGAAAAGCACACTTGAAACTTCAGCAAACCCTTACTTATGGCCAGTAGAGTGTAATAGTGGCAGAGTAATAGAAAAAAAAAAAAAAAAAAAGAAAAGTAAAACAAGAAGACAACCAGATAAGGAGTAATAGTGGTAGATACATTGACACGGAATATATACATACGTATATATATACATACATATATATATCTATAAAAGAACTTATCATTACGTACGTTAGGTTGTATATATGTACAAATACGAAGAAAAAAATTGAAAAAGGAATGTCAATCTTGAAACATACAATTACTGTTTACGTGCATGTCTTTGCCGAACTACACACAAATGGTTTAATGGCAAGCACAAATGCCACTACATAGATACACACAGATTCAAAATTCAAACAGACAGGCGCTTAAATATGCTATGAATGAAAGAGAGCTCTCTAGGTACGTTAAAAGAGCATTTATATCGTTTTTATCAAGAGCGCATTCGACAAAAGATGATGACAACGATACCAACATAAGGAAAAACTGTACAGAGCTAGGTTATGTTTTCGCCAATAAAGAAAACAAAAAACAAAAATTCCCGGTTTTCTTTTTCCTCCTCGATTATATTTGCCGTTTACGTGATTCAAGTTGAGCGCATGTTTACCAGACAATAAGAGAGCGAACAGAAACAGCTGTTTAGACAGGACATGCAGTTGTTGAGAACAGATGGATAATTGTTTGCCTTATCTTCATACATGCATATGAATGATCAATAGCAAAAAGAAAAAAAGATGATTATCTTAATAAGTAAGAATGCTATATAAACTTTTGCTCGAATTTTCTTCACCCTACATTTGGAAAAATTGAATAAAAGGGCAGAGAGTCTTCAACTAATTATAGGCGCCTTACTTATCTCGTCCCTAGTTTTGTTTTACATTTGTTCAGTGGACATAAAATGAAAACAAACATGTCCGCTTTAAACTTTCTGCTTTAAGTTTGGTGTTGGTTGGAGAGTTTTAATATTAAAACCTTAGATCAAAGGAGACATCAAGCGGCAGTCAGGAACACCTTGCTACACTGGCTTCAAATTCTCTCCTGATATGCAATATAATATGTAATAATGAATGTTTTGTGTAAAGAGCTACTGAGTGTTAACAAAGCCCATTAAAGGATCCCTTGGTGATGGCTATAAATATTGTAGCCTTTTGTAGGATGTACAGATGTACAGATGTACATATGTCAGGATTAAGATTATTTGTTATGCAAGACACGCCTTTTAATAGCAAAAAAAAAAAAAAAAGATAGGACTCTAACATAATTAATCGATGAAATAGGTGTTGTTACTAATCTTTCTTCAGCATATTTAGAAAGAAACTGAAAGCATCTACGAGAGTTTGTAAGAAAAGTTTCTTCCCGCTTCATGAAGTACCACAAAATTTCTCGCTAAAACCTTTAATCTCTTCCCGAAAGCGGGCTTGTCAGATATCGACAATGAACTTCCAAAATTGAGAAGAAAATGGTGTCCAATGGAAAAGCACTGTCAGTTGTGCAGAATGAAGCCAGGATACTCTAAAGGAGTGAAAAATGCGTTGATAGATGCATTGATAGACGACTTGATAATATTTCTTTAAGCGTCTGGTAATTCCTTTATGCTTCTATGAAGAAATCTATTTTTATATGTCTGTTTGGTTTGCACTGATGTCTGAAAAGCAGGTCATCTTTCTCAACAATTTCATGTCATTCCTCTATTATTCTAATTTTCACAAATTAGTTCTACTGTGTAGATGCTACCTCTTATTAGCAAAGGAACCTCACGTAAATGAATGCGAATTTTTTCAATAAACTTTCAATTATTTATTATGTTTCTCGAACGCTATAAGAGTATTTACGCGAAAGTTTGCCAACTTGAAATCTCTATCAGCAACTGAAGGCGTAAAAGAAACTATTGCAGACATGGGGACCTAAATCCAAAGGAAGAGAAAACAATAAATAAAGCCAACGTATGAAGAGGTCTCATATAAACCATGGACTGTCACATAGTCGAGCTGCGACTAAAGAGTCAGGGATCGGTGCATTAAATCTCTATGCGGTTTGACCATACTTAGTCTCAGCTATAGTGAATTTGCAATCAATGAAGGCATAACCCTAACCGATTTGATTATTAACCCACTAGACTGCGGTTGCTCTCACTCGCTATTTGTCCCTCGCTATCTTTCTCTCTTTTCTCAATTTTTCCTGACGATCAACATGCTACACGCATAGGGACCATCCCCTAACTAATGCTTCTTAATAAAAAAAAAAAAAAAAAACAAAAGATTTATTCATACTTTTATCTCAGCTCCTTGGCCTCATTTGAAAGGTAAAACCATTTCATGGTTAGAAAATTGTTCCAGCGTGAACTCGTTTCTTCCACCGTTAATCCGTTTTAATGGCAACATTTTTCAAAATCAGGCAGTGGCATTGAACTCGAAGGACATAATGTCTTATATGTGGGATTTCTGGGAAAGGATTATGTAAGCAGGCAAGATAGTTTGCGTAAAATATGGAGTTGTGTTACGTGCATAGACCGATTTATATAAATGATTATATCAGAGATTTTATTGCTTATGCATTATGTTAAGCCTGACTCAGAATGTAATTAATTGAAATGATTGCAGACATTTTCTTCTCCTAAAGGCTTATATGCATTCTCAACTATCTAATCATCTGGTTACCTTCACACCTAACTATTTCATAAAATTTTAACTAAACATATGATATTAAGCAGAATTATTGAAAGGCGCTTTTATGAAAACAAAAAAATTAAATAAAGAAAAAAAACAAGCAGAATATCTGCAAACTTTTCCCATGAAAAACTAAAAAGAGAGCCTAACGACTGTTACGTATATCATCACTGCAAAATTGTCTGTACGTTTACAGACTGTCTAGTAAATAGTCATGTAAGAGTACAATTTTTTTTTTTTTTTTTTTTTTTTGATTGTACGGAAAATATGTTGCAGCACATTGGAGCCTAAAAGTCCCGAGAAATGGAGACAAACGGTAAAAGACAGTTGAACTAGTAAGCAAAGTATACAAAGACGGTAAACGAAAAATTGGTGAATGAAACAAAAAAATAAATAAAATGCTTGTTCTGGTGTGCGACGGTAAATAGTCTAGAAAATAAAATTTAATAAAATCAAATTAAAAAAAAAATGTCATTTCAAAATTTCATTCTCAAAAAACTGACCTAAAAATATCTAAAAAAAAAAAAAAAAACTTATATGTGACCTCTACATAAAATTTGAGTCACGTGCAAAGGTTTAGGGAACAAAAAAAGCAAAGAAAAAAAAAAGAAGACAGAAAGGTGACATAAAAAAACTCTCGCTACATAAAATTTGTGAACACTTTTTTGTAATCAGTGTCGAAACGTGTGTGAAATGTCGATAGGGCGTGGATGGCTAACTTCCAAGTAAACTATTACGTTATAATAGAACACACTTCAAAGAATTTTACTGAATATTCTCAAAAAATTAAAAAAAAAAATGCACTGTTCAGAAAAGAAACAATATAAATCATGCCCTTGAAGTTGCATTAATTTTCCATTTGTTTATTGATTTTATATAGGAAAAGAAAAATAAAAGAAAAGAAATTTCTTTTTTTATATGTATTTTTTATTACAGTCGCAATTGCTTCGATGCCTTAACCGTAATTTTATTTATTTATGTATTTTTTTTCACTCTTCCTTAACTATCAATGTTTATCAATGTTATGTGAGTTCAGTGTGTTTTTCTCTCTCCTTCGTTTTTATACTCTCTAGCACTAAAGGTATCAATAATGAAACCTAATGTTTTTAAAACAATCAACAGTGAACTGTAAATATCAACAATAAAAAAAATAAAAATAAAAAAACAAAATAACAACAGCAGCAACAACAATAGTAGTAAAAAAATAAGAATAACATCAGCAAAGAATGTCAATTTAATTTGACAGTTGAAGTGTGCATCGCCTATACATACATACACACATACATATAATACATATAAAGCAGACGACAGGCATACAAAAGTTTTTGCTTTTTCGTATCGCATACAAATATTGTGCCGCGACTACTTCTATATATATATATATATATATATATATATGAACACATGTATGTGGGTAACTAAATGTGAGTGTGTATGTATGTGTGTATGTGTACATATATATATATATATATATATGTGTGTGTGTTTGTATGTGTGCGTGTGCACAAGTGTACAAAATATAAAGTTGAAGCTTAATTGTATTCATTGAGTGTGCGGGTGTTTGCTAATTTATCCTATTATAAATATATATATATATATATATATATATATATAAGTATATATATATAAACGCGCGCATACATCCAAACTCGCAAATCAACACACACACATACGTGCATATTTGTGAAAGAAATAAAGTGAGCAAACAGGCGAGCAAGCAAGCAAGGAAGGAAACAAACTTAAAAATCCCCCATTGTCTGCTTTGCTGCTGGTGCTATTGTATTATGGCTGAGCAGAGTACCATAAATTATATGCTTATCCTTTTGATGCAAAAGTTTTAATGCGATACGTGTTTAAATATCTTGTGCAACATTAATGATTATTGCCATAAAAATTGAAACGAAAAAGTAAAAGTAGAAAAGAAAAGTGTTCGGTTCGGTTAGGTGTAAGTGCGGTAAATTTCTTTTCTAATTTTTTGTTTTTTTTTGCAATAATAATTATAATAATCGTATCTCTAACAACGTTTTTTCATATCGTTTGCACAAGTTTGTGACAAGATAAAGATATATATATAGAAAGTTAGTGTTGTTGTTGTGTGTGCGTGTGCGTGTGTGCATGTGTGCGTATACGTGAGTGCTTTAATAACTAATTTATCAACAAAATAATCAAAGATCATTGAATGGTTTCATCGAACGGATAATGTTTGTTAAACAAAGGTTAGTGATTTTATTTATTTATGAACGAATTTATACATTTCAACAAACAGAGAGAAGAAAAAGAAAAACTTAGCCAGCCTATTTTTAAAAAATCTACTATATGCCTTGAATATTTTCGCGTTAAAATAAAATAATTTCGAGTGCGAACCATTCTCTCAATCACAAATTTTGTTAAAACAAGAGTGGGTTTTATTCCCCCACACCCTTTGTGACATAAAGGTATATGCGGATGGATGTAAGCAGCCGCCACATGGACTTGAGATAGGCACACCTGCCTTTATACCGATCGATTAGCATCACTTTTTGAATCGATTTAAGCTTGTCTGTCCGTCTGTCCAAGCATAGACGCCTTTGAAAGCGGTTAGGATCAGATCTCTATTTCGATCGCCCCCAATATAATGCCTTATTTCGAAAAATGGTTGCAAGAATAACTGTAGCGTGGTGTACGATATTTAATGGTCAATCGTGGCCCGCCTAGTTGTTCTAGTTTAATGAAATTTAATGATCGTTTCAAAACCACAGACAGTCAATAAGGTTAACTTATAGAATGACAATTTAAGAAATTATGTTTTTCTTAATCCCTGTTATCCGATTCTTTTTTCTGGTTTAAGTACACAAGTGTCAAGCCATCAGATAATTAGTTCTGCTTCTTAAGCTTGTCTTTCCAGAACACTATCCTATGGAATTGCCAAGTCATCCCCCAAAAATTCACTCCTCAATAATGACGAGTCCGTATTGTTCCAAAAATAAGTTCTATTTCATACAATACAACTCTCTATCAATATTAATTGGAATTTCGAAGACCAAAAACGGTAATGAAATATTTTTAGATGAAAAAATATAAATTGAGCTCTGATATTGTAAAAAAAAACTTCTGAGGATGAATATAACCCCAATCCTCTTCCTATAATTTTTATGAAATCTTTTGAAAAAAATTTAATCATTTTGAAAAGGAAATGTTTCAGGGGACGGTTGTCTTAGATCATTAGGCGACCAGAGAGGCAGACACATGTAGCTATCATGATATCCCATAGTAGACGAAAAATTTTCGAAAATACAATAAGGATTTGCTATAAAAAATTTGTTATCATGTGACTTCCTGTTTTGATCGCAGGTAGGTCGTCTCAACCACCAATTTGTACTTAATAAAATTTAAAAAATCAATCACGCAAAGATGATCAAAGTAGTGTTCTTATTCAAATCTAAATATTCCTTTCGATCAGTTCAATTCATCTTTGGAGATGTGGATTTAAAAAGGAGGACTATGTAAGAATGTGCCTTATTAAGAAAAATAAATTGGCGGAATAGTTCACCATAAATCTGATATCTAAAATATAACAAGGTGGCCATCTCACTTTGCGTCTCCTATGAGTTTTGCTACACACATACATATGCATAAAATAAATAGGCTCATGCAATGATCAGAAACGAAGATTGTTCTACTCTTACGTTAAATGACGTATCAGTTGCGTTATGCAACCATGTTAAATATCTTGGCCTTCACATAAAGCATAAACAAAGTGTGTTCAGAGAAAAGGTGAGTTTATTTTTCTCGAAAAATATTCGTTAAGCCTGTTTTTTTCCCTTCAATGTCGTCGCTGCCAGATGCAATACACTCGTGTCAGCGCTTTTTCCAATTCTTGAATTCTCGTCTAACTGTTATATCCGCCAAAAACAAATGAAGAATGGAAAATGGCTGAGACGCTGAACACATATTGGCAACATGTGCAAAAATATGACAAAAACAAAGTGCTCAGTCTACTAAATTTGAAAACTCATCTTTTTTTTTTTTTGAACCCATCTCGTACAGTAGGAATAACAACAGCGAAATATAAAAACAAAGGAAATGTTGTAGGACTAAATTTCAACCTTAATCTGAAGAAAAAAAAATTATACTCTACAAAACCATTCTAAAGCCAATAAGAATGTATGGGATCTAAATGCGGGGGACATCAAACAATTTTAACGTTGATATATTTTAAGCCTAATCACACATGCTCCTTGGTTTGTGCTCAAGCAGATTTTACATATCGATCGTGATGTCCTTAAAGCTAAAGATAAAATAACAGACTTCAGTTATAAATTAAGAAGACTGAAAAAGGCACCACATATTAGACCCACCATTCATATAGACATGTTGCTGACCCACTCAATCTATACTTAAAACAAGACGTCGTATTTTATTATTGTTGTTCCGGTTTAGTCGTTGATTCATTTGCTCAATGCTTAATTGTAAATAGATTGCAAAGGAAGAAATTTTAAAAAAAAAAGATATAAAAAATCAACGATTATACACTGCTTTTATTCAGAAAACTTGCCAATGAATATAATGCGGTAACCGCGACTAGTGACTAGTTTCATATAGATTCGTTGTCGTACGCTCTCCTGTTTTCGGGACGAAATTTCGTCAGTAGAAGCTTTGAAAATCTCTATTGAACTTGCAGAGCAGACTCCCTCCAGCACGATAGATTCGTTTCGTGTTACGTTATGATACGTTCTCGCACTTCTTCAGCCTCTCGAAACCGCTTACCGGACAACTTGTGCTGCATCAATTTGAACAAGGGCTAATCAGAAGACGGCATGTCTGGTGCGGTAATCGTGTGCGGCACAACTTCTTGTTCGAGCTGCAAAAGCGTATTATTGACGGGTGATCGAGCTTTGCCATGCAAGAGGATCATTTAGCGTTTGTTTACCGCTATTGTTGTCCTTCCCATGATGTGGATGACTCTCGTGGACTAAACGATGACTTTTTGTGTTTAAGATTGTCGCGGTAGACATGCAACCAATGACATTGCGATGTTGAAACGGTTTGGAATGGCATTTTCTCTTACTTCCTATTGTAGTAACTAACTATTAATACTAAATAGGAAACTGTTATTTTATGTAGAGAAAGATTAAAATAATCGAATTCAACAGCTGCGTACATTGATGGTTCCTATTGCTTTATCATTTACACCAATAGATGTCGCTGATCAAGATACAAGAAAGCCTAATAAAACCGTACCATCCGGTTCGTTCTTTTCCCGAGTTATCCGAGCCTCATTTAGCCATACGCACAAGATCACATCTTCTCGTCTTATACGAGCCCGTAAAAAAGGTGGGTCTAGAGTGTTTAAAAAAGAACTCACAGAAGACATAAATAAATTTCTAAATAACCATAGAGGAATTCTTACCCCAACTTGGTTTACAATATACATAATGAAATAACATTATATAGCATTATATATACTAGAAGAGAAACGAGTGTTCGAAGTGACTTTTATAGAGAATATTTCTTTAGCAGCATTTCAGCCACTCTACTTAATAGGAATATTTTGAACACAAGGTTATTTCACTTTCTTTATTTCATGAAGAGTTCTATATAAAAGAACGCATCAAATTATTTTCTTTGCTTATATGCAATGCTGTTTAGTGCAACGTTTTGTATATAATAGATATCGCGCACACATTTTATAGCATAAAACGTTTTAGTTTAAAAAGTCTTGATTTTTACATACTTGAACTGAATCGTACGTAACAGATTCGAAGAAAATATGTTTCGAGGTTACATTCGAAGCAAACAATTAAATGTTATTGACTTTACTGCGTTATAGCACTGAAACGCTATAGAAAATATAATAACAAACAAAAAAAAAAAAAAACGAAAACGAAAAAATTAAGACGCAATTGTTCATGATATAATGCAAACACTTTGTAGCGTACACTGTAGGCGTTATGTTAAACAAAGAAGACGGCCGTAAGCATTTTGAGGAAATCAAATTTTCTTACACCCTACATCACATTTGATGCAAATGTCTCTATTAAGTATTAAGGGTCTAAGTTAAGTTAACCGACATTTTTTCATATACAGCACTCTCCGTCTGTCCGTCTTCTGTTCTTGTAAAAAAAATATGTTACGTTGACGTATTTTAAGCCATATAACGCTTAACTTTGCAAAGTCGTTTTATGAATAGAAGGATAGTGTAGGGTATTTAATACCGTTTCATAGCCACTACAGTGTCTTTACTTATTTTGTATGTTGAAATGAGCAAGAGAGGGCAGAACGCCACGTGTAGGGCTTGAGACGTAGGGCAGAATGCATCAATACCTCTTCCCATGCATTTCAACTTTAAGTTATCTTAAGTCGACATATATTTAATTTCTTAATGGTCGACGTCACGAATATAATAACGCTTTACATAACAACTCTCTTGCTTTGTTTATAGAAACATTGATATGGCATTTAATAGTTTTATCAAGGAACAGCAGGCTTGGCAGCAGACTTTAAATATTTTAAATTCTTCTTCTTAGCAGTTTCAATGAATTAAAATATTTGTATATTTATTATTGAAGCAAAAAAAGAAAAAAAAATGAAAAAAAATAAACATCGTGTCCACTGGATATTTCGAATACCAATTAAGGGGCAAACCATCGGGTTCGTCGGCGATCTGTTCTATTTCGTTCTGTGTATATGGCCAATAATCATGCAGTTGCTGTAATTGGTTTTGGGAAACGGAGGGCCATCGATAGCGGCAGGGATCGTCTGCTTGCAGACTGAGGTGTGAATTGGGTGCCTGGCGCGTCCTGGATTGAAATCTGCTTCTTTTACAATAAATCCAACTCTAAAGCATTATAAACACAAAACTATAGCAGCCAGGGGGTCAAGTTGCCAGCTCCTTCAACGTCACGTGTGCTTGCTTAGGGGGATAGAGGTGGCTGCGTCGGTTAAACGCGGGCCGGAGGATTGGCGCTTCCCGAGATCGTTCAGAGGGAAGTTTGCACTTGCATATCCCGCGAATGAAACATCAGATGGACAGACGGACAGACAGGCTTAGAATATGATTCTGAGCCGATCGGAACAATGAACAGTTGGTCTGTCTTCTTTGCTTCGGCGTGTTACAAACATCCGCGCAAACTTAATCCTGTACCATAAGTCGTGTAGGGTATAATGAGATGAAAACATATAAAAAATTGTATGAAAAATCGCCATTTAACGTTACAAGTTTGCCATGACTTATGGG